GTGTGTGTGGCCAGCTCAGCCCACCAGGGGGCGGGGCTGGCTGACATGTGGTGCTGGGGGATCGAACCGCGGTCCCGGTGCTTCAGCCAAGCTTGTTCCAAGTAGGTGCTTTAGACCACTGAGCCATCTCACCAGCCCCTAGATACCTTAGTCTTTTCAGTAGCTGGGATTACAGTTGTGTGCCACCACACTTGGCTTGTTTCATTAATTAAAAAATAATTCTCATAATATCTAATGTCCAGGAAAAAATTGTTAATATATTGTAAAGCACAGTAAGATGCCGTTTGAGCCCCCACTTGAAATCTGGAATGATATAGTACTGTATCAACTTGTATTGACTGATTACTTTAAAATAACTTAATTGTGCTATGCATTTGTGTAGAAAGTTCCTTCAGGGAAACGTAGAGGATCCATATGTGCTATATGATTTTCAGGTGACCACACCTTGGGGCCGGCAGAGATGCGGGTAGGGCCAGGGGCTGAGGGGGATGCAGGCTCGCAGGTGATGAAGAACTCCCAGGTAGTGGCATGTCATCTCAGGCACAGTCTCTACCTGGTCGGTGCCCACCTTGCTGCTCACCATCCCAAGCAGGATGACCTGTGCTGTGGTGTCCACCGTGTGTGGCTTCCCAGTAGGCGGCACCTCCTTTGCACAGGGACATAGTACTGTTGGTCAACCTGGGGCAGTGCCTGCAGCTCCCCTGCGGGAACTTGTTCTGACGGGCCTTCCTCATCCTGGGGCTCTGGTGTCCCAGCAGGCAGCAGGCCAGCCCCGTGGCAGCCCACAATTAGGGCCCAACGCTGGCCCCCACAGCCATGAACAGATTGGCCACAGCACTGCAGGTGACTTAGTCCTTATATGCTTAGGTCCTTAGCGAGGAAGGCAGAAAGTGGAGCGGCTTGTAGGTTTTGGCATCTTTTATTCAGGAGACAGTGCAGCTACTTCATTCTCACTTTTGAAATATTTTCCCATGGTGTGCTTTTCTCTTCCTGCACTCAGTATTTGTTTCTAACTTGCTAATTTACAGAGAATTAGAGTGGGTCAGATTTGTGTAATTTGGTTACAGTAGCAATTTTGGAATTAACTAGGAAAAGTTTACTTTTGCTAACCTTTTAAAATGTTTCCCGAGTACTTCTGAGGTGGGAAGCGTGGCAGTGAGGTTGAATAGTCGCTGAGTTCACTCTGGGTTTTACTTCTGACAATTCATGTAGTATAATGTTGAAATTTGCTGTTGATGGTTTAGATTCATTCTGGAAGAGTTCATTGGTTTTTAGTTTATTTATTTATTTATTTATTTATTTATTTATTTATTTATGGTTCTGGAGGTTGAATCTGGGTCCTCACAGCCATGTGCTACAGGCCCCATATGTAAACACTGGTAGAATTGATTACCAACAGAAAAGCAGCTTGAGATAAGTGTCTGAGTGTGATAGTTCATTTCTCCATCAGACTGTATGTTTGAAACACTGTCCTATGCAGTGATATTTGTGTATTTACACAGATTTTAGTGCAGAATAGCAATTTCAGCCGCTTTAAGAATGAGGCTACCTGTAGCTCTTAAGTACCAAAACTTTTGGAAGCAATAACTGTTGGAATCTAGATTAAATTATATTTCTTTGAAAAACTAAATCATTTTATTAACAGTATGTCAGTAGGCCAGGCATGGTGACGCATGCCTAGAATCCCAGCATTTGGGAGGTGAGGCAGAAGGGTTGCTACAAGTTCAAGGCCAGCCTGGGCTGCATAGTGAGATCTTGCCTCAAAAAGCCAAAAATAAACCAGTGAGAGAAGGTTTTATTATTATTATT